CTACACAACTTTTTTAAGCACTAGAGTACCAGCGATCTTTAGTTTTGTTTAACTAAATCATATGAGACACAAATAATATAAAATAGACATTTTTCGAGCAGAAAGTGAATGCACTTCTGTGAAGTTTAAGCATATACTTTTGCATGTTTCAACTGCAGGAGACAAACAGTTGACAGAAGTGGACAAATAATTTCATTAGTAAAAAGAAAGAATTAAAAAATGTTTATAATCAGCCCTCTTTTGAACGTACTGCCAGTTACCTAGTTCATAATCAACCAATTATTTCAAATTTTCTAATATAAATATATATATAATTGTCCTCTTTTGTCAAGTTTTGTGTCCAAAAAGAAATAAGACACTATGTCACTCATTAATATTAGCACCACTGTATAAAGTCAATATTTTTGCATTTTGTATAGCAATCGATACTATGGTGCTATAAGACATTTTTGAGGCTTATTGAATATATATCCTTTTTCTGAATAGACGAGCAATACATGTGTAAGTTTGTTAGATCTCACGCTTTAAATAAATTATGATAGGTGCATCATGTTAATAATAAATATAGAAAGAATATTTATGTAGTCATTAATAAACTCAGCAGACAAACTGAGTAAATGAATAGGATAAGGGAGACAAAAGGGACGTTGATCTAGTGAGCGGTAGAAATATGGTACAGACGTTACCGTCTTATCAAGAATGTAGTTCTGGGAACTGGCAAACTTGCGTGATGAAATGCAGGGCAATTTGGGGCCAATGATCGGCTTGAGAGGCAGAGGCGGTGGCGATGGCGCCTTTATCTCAACCTCCTGTGAACAATCTTAACTAAATCACTGGCACTCTTTGCTTGTGTGTCTGTTTGTCTATTGGAACATGTTTTTGGGTTATTAAAACGATTCAAACAGTCATACTTTTTAAAGGCGTTTGCTATGGAAGTATTAAAGAATATCTAATATATACTTAAAGCATAAAACGAATTTTTATCTTACCTCATTATCTAATACATTTGCAATAACTTCCACAAGCATAGCACCACAGCCGCCTGTACTATCAGAACCACATGTTTCAACGAGTAATTCTGGTTGTATATAATGTACCATTTTTCTAATTAAACTTAAACTTGCTTTTCTAACACTGGGGAGCATCGTTGATTGGAAAGTTGTACAAAATACTGGTAAAAGTCTTTTTAAATATACTGGAGCCATTTCAGGATCACCCTTTGGTTCTGTAAATTCTTCCGTTTCTGCTTCTGGCTTTCTATGCTCTTGATTTGGTGGTAACATCCACTCCCCAGGTGATTGTAATATAGCTGCGACTTCTCTATGACCTTCATCGACACGTTCTCTAGCCTTATCTAATGGAGTTTTTCCGTCTTCGTCTCTAAGATCAGGATTTGCTCCATGCCTAAGCAAAACTTTTGCAATCGCTGGCCTTCCAAAACAAGCTGCGTAATGTAGACTTGACGATCGTTGACCTTTATTAACATCTGCACCTCTATCACATAAAAATTCAACCATTTCTTGTGTACCAAATGCCGAAGCCCAATTTAACAATGTTTGACCAACATCATCCATAAAGTTGACTTCAATACCTCCAGAATCTATAGCTTCTATTAATGCATCTGTATCTTTGGATCTTATACAATCAATTAGTTGTCTATGAGACTTTTCACCCGCACTATCCAAACGTCTTAATCTTGGTAACAATGGTCCTGAAGGACCTCCTGTAGTGCCACGACCAAGGGCTGATCTACCCTCAAACAATAAAACTAACAAAAGATCAACTAATCTCATAGAATCGAGAGCACATCTTTCATCTCCTTTTAGGGCCTTTTCTATTGCATCTGGTAATTCTGAACGTAGAAGATCGTGAGTTATCGATGGCGATCCCCTACATAATGTAGATAGAAGACTGATTATAGTGGAAACTGAAGCGCAAGACCTTGGTTCTGAAGTTGCTGCAGTAGTAGGCGGTGGAGGTGTCTTTGGATTACTGGAAGCTGCTGTGACAGATGTACCAGGTCCTGCAGCGTTTGATAATCTATATGGCAGATTAATTTAGAATATGCATCACAATCTATACACACACACACACACACACACACGCGCGCGCACACACACACACACACACACACACACCATACATATATACATACATACATACATACATACATACATACATACACACAAAAACACACATATATGTATATATATTATGTGTTAATTTTTATTTGTTATTAATTCTTACCTATACAGAAGTTCAGAAACCAATCCATTGCAAGCTAATGGAGCAGGATCAGTTCCTCTCCTGGAAAATCTATCAGCCAATGATGCAAAGCAACGAAGTGCACCATCCGCCACATGTGCATCCTCGTGCCTAAGCAAAGTTGATAATGCTTCTACACAATCAGGCAAAGTTTTATCTTGAGGTTCAACTTTGCCACACAGACGTGTTACAACAGCCATTGCAGAATGTAATGTATCTCGATGAACGCGTGCTCCATGTTCTCTGATGAAACATAATGCACATGGAAGGCCTCCTGCTTCAAACACAGCACCTGCTTCTCTTGCGCAAACGAGTTCTAACACCTGCATATTATTTAAGATATGAATTTTAATATTATTATAACTAATATGATTATCATTCATTTTATATATAGAAAAAAATCCCTTCCTTCTTTCTCTCTTTTTATTTATTATACCTTTATACATTGTTCTGCTAGGTCTCTGCTAGCTCTGGAGCCTAGTCCAGCGCCAGACAGACGACCACAAATAGCTTTCACTGCACCTTCCATAGCTACTACTCTGCGTGTACATTCTGCAGAAACATCTAAATAATATGTTATGGCTCGAGCTGTTACTTCTAAAACACTGTCAGGTGCAAATTCATCTAAGAAAATTCTACATAATGCAGGCAAAAATGTGCGTGGTGGACAGCTGAAAAGTTAATAAATATTAAGATAGGTAACTAAAATAATTGAAATGAACGAACATATAATTATTACTTGTAATTATTACATACCATTCGAAACAGCGATCGACATTATCAGACATAAGTAATAACATGCATAGTTGTTCTAATGCAATTAATTGCATATCTCTTTCGTCTCCCTGGCCCATACTGAGCCATTCTAGTAATGTCTCCGGATCTACGTCTGTCATCTGAATACAGATGTATAAAAAATATAAGATACCATTTTAATTTATGCAAATATGGTAAAAGTACTATGATCTTAATGAGACAACAATTAATTATACTCTCTTATATTTGTTACAATAATAATAATAATTTATATAGATTTCAAGAAATAACACTTTTACTGAGCATTAATTCTAAATATTTTAAGCAAGAAACAAAGGAAGATTATTGTCAGTGAGATGTTATAAATAGCTCACTTTGTTCTATCGTTATAAGATATATAGAATTTCAAAATGCTCACCTTATGTCTTTTATAGCACCAACTAAATGGGTTTCAATCTGACGATCTGAAAATATAATATTGCACTATACTATGAAATCATAAATTGCACAGCTAAAATATTTAAGATTGATTTGCAGGTTTTTTTACCAAAAGTAACAAACGCACGTCAAAACGAGGGAAATAATGTAAAAGAATTCGTTATTAATCGTATTTCAAAATTCAATATCGGACGTAACGTATCACAAATAAACACAACTGTTTCTCACTAGTAGCAGCAGCTCTATATTAAGACTCACTTTGACAGCTTTCTCTCTCCCGTGGTGTATGGCTTTGGCTGAATGTTATTTTTCTAGAAAGAAGCGACGACGATAATTGAGCGCTGCGCTTGTTAAATGTTAAACACACGCTCCGAACGGGACTTGAACAGTTCGATAAATAAAGGCACGTGGCATTGAGAGACAGCAATATCCTATATATATATATTGGTACTTGCCGTTAAAACACAAAGGATGGAAAAAAATTTGACACGACAATGGCAATCATTAGAAATTTTCTTCTTCATTGAAATAACGTATAAAATGCAACCTTTGACCGCATTACGTACACAAATTAAAAGGAAGATAAATCGAAGACAATTATTGGAATCATCTGATATTCACAACATACTATTATCTATAACTCTCCTGCTCGCGAGTATGGCTCAACACACAATGAAGATACATTACCGTTCCGCACAGTGTTCCATCCTTCGTAAGGGGTCAGGTCGCCATCCTTTATGAAACGTCTCGTTTCCCGATAAGAAAACGAACACGACAACGTACTTGCACCGTCGTTTGTACGAACAAGCTTATCGACGTACCACGAACGGACAAAGTGCTCCAAGCGAGCAGGGATATTCTTATTTTCCGTCAGTATTGTCGTATATATTTCGCCATTTACATGACATTCGGTATAATTCGGAATCACGAACTAACAGCAGCGCTCCCAAGCGTTTTCAATGGCTTTCAACGCAACGATTGCAACAAGAAGTTTTCGCTTTGGTGGATTCTCATGTATTTTCCCATTCTTTCCTTCTCCCACTTCCCTATTACTATCTTAGATCTCTTTATCAGACAGACACAATTTCATGCCTCTTCACCTTATGATTCACGGTCATACATAAAACGAGTATATGTATTTAACACTCGTTATCCTTATCTACCGTTATGATTACGTTCCTAGGTTTTATTATATCTCAATATAATCAAAAATATTCATTACCTGCGGGTAAATGGTTTCCAATATCGTCGACTGATAACATGCATGACGTGGAATTTCTATTGTTAATTCATAAATTTTAAAAGTCAAATCGATCCACTTAACTTTTTGCGCACAAGGCGCTCCTTCATATCGATAGACCGGATGTGATAATCGATTCGATTGTTCGACTTACGCGGTTGCTTAAATTACCGTTATTCTCACATACATTTACACAATTTTACAGATTCACATATTAATCATATTATCTATCTACTTCATTTATCTTCATTAGTTACAATCAAATTTAGAAGATGCGATCCTTGAAAAAAAAGTAGGCACATTCATTTTTAGTATTTTTTTCTTTTTTATAGTTTTCAATATAAAAACATTTTCATGATACTTTCTTAACTAATATGCTTTACATATTTCTCAAATAAATTGTAAACATAACTGTGTCCTATTATACAAGAAGTCATAACATAACCAAAGCTTTTCTTTTTCCTTCGCTCAAAGCAGATATTAAATAGAATAAAAAAATTATTTTAAGTATGTACATTGTATAATTCACGTGTTATATATTTTACAATTTTGTGTCTTATTCTATTTCTTATTTTTTACGGACGTTTTTCTTCTTTTCTAATGCTAAAACATATGCATAATTTTATGATAAATATAAAAATAAAGGATAATGTAAGTATACACTTGAGAAAGGAACATACCTTTACGTTCTTCTGCAATTTCCGCTCTTCTATCCTTCATATGCATAGGTAATTTATCTAACATCTTTTCTATGAAATTATCTACAACTAAAGACCTGTTCATTGATTTAACTGGAGCTCGACAAACTGGACATTCTCTGCGTTTCTTATTCCATGTATTAATACAATGAAGACAGAATGTATGCATACAATTCAAAGTCGTTGCTTTTATAAATAATTCAGAGCATACACTACATGTCAATTGTTCGTCCATTATATTACTAACTGTGTCCATTGCATCTTTGGATATGATGATATTGTCCATATTATTTTCTGTCAGATCTATAGTATCTATAATACGTAGATTCGAGGTATCCACAACTTCAAGCAATATACAACTGTCTTCCTTAAGCATGCTAGATCCAGGTGCTTGTAATTTTAGAGAAAAAAAAAAAAAAAAAAAAAATAAATAAATAAATAAATAAATAAATAAAGCAGTGAATGAAATATTAAAAACAAGTGGAAATTATTTAAATATGTACATATTTCATAATTAAAAAAATACCATTTTGTGATCGTACAGAGACTGATTTAATTTCTTTATCTTTTAAAGCTTTTTCAGTTTCTTTAAGCTTTTCTTCTAGTTCAATTTTTTCAGTTAATAATTGCGCTTGGATATTTTTCTCTTCCTTAACTCTATTCTCCATCATATTCTTCCATTCTGCTTGTTGCTCTTCCCTCCATTTTTCCATTTGTTCTTTCATTTTAATTTCCAATAATTCTTTTTCTTGTTTACTTATATCAAGTGCCTCTTGCCATTTTTGTCTCTCTTCATTTAAACGAGCTTCAAATTGAGTCCTTTCATTTTCTAACTTTTTCAGTAATTTAGAATACATATTTTGTAAATATTTTTCTTGGTTATTACCAGCTGCTATTTTATCTTCTAATTCTACAATCTGATTCTTTAAATCTTCCTTATCATCATGTACCATATCCCATTGTTTCAACAAAATATTCAATTCTTCTTTTAACTCTAATTGTTCTTTTTGCTTAGTTTCTAACTTATCTTTTAATTCTTTTCTCTGATTTTCATGACTTTCAACAAATGTCCTTTGCTCTGTCAAGACGTCGTTAAATAATTGTTTGTCAATTCGCTGCTTCTTAGGATTGGTTTCTTCCGTAAGATTAAGAGTAAACACATATTTATAATTGCTATTTGCACTAAGTTGAATAATATCTCCAACCAAAATTTTTCTTGTACTTCCTGATTCAAGAACAACATCATTAACAAAAGTATAACTAGAACTTAAATCTTTGATAGTCCATTCACCATTCCCTTCATATCTTATAATACAATGTTTTCTAGATATCAATGTATCCAATATAATCTCATCGTTATCTCTTGCTCTTCCTATTTTGAACTGTTCGAAGAAATAATTTGTTTTTTTTATAATTCTTTTTTACTAATATAAAAATACACATGCAAAATATAATGAAATTCCAGAAATTAACAATAAAAAAGAATTGATTAATTACAAAAAAATAATAAGTAATAATAAACAATTACCTCAGATTTATCAATATGAATATCACGAGCTGCAGCACCATTTCTATTTAATCTTACTAATATTGGTTCCAGAATCTTCACTTCATTATCCGGCATAGGACTTCTTTTCATGGTTGAATTTTCCATTTTTATAAGAAACAATGAAAAAGATGCAGAAACATCGGATAAATATAGGTTATCTATTTTGATCACATTTATAGTTTATTATGCTTTTCTTGGTCGCTTATTTGTTAATAATTGATTATAATAAATATTTAAAGCAAAATATTTATAAATCTATTGTTTGCTTAAAAAATGTTAGAGTTTCAACGCAGTTAATATAAAAAAATTTAATTATTGACAATTTTGTACTTAAAACAAACACGCCTCTCTCACTTCCTAAATCGCGCCACCTCGTGAATTGAACTTAAACGAATATCTAAAGAAAATGCTTTATCTTAGAGAGTTAACTTAGAATTCTTTTTTATCGATATATAATTTGTAATTTACGATATTTTTTTTTTGTATTTCGTAAAATATTCACTATCACAGCATTAAAAATAATTTCATAAGAATTGTAGATGAAATAATAACTTATATGATTTTTAATTTCTATCGTTAAATCCAATCCATACATACTTTAGAATGTAAGCACACGCGATGATATATTTATATATATATATATATGTGTGTGTGTGTGTGTGTGTGTGTATACATAACAGGTGAAAATAGATTCAACATCATATTATAAGTTCTGAATGACAACGATGATTGTGGTAATTCAGATAATATTTATTTGATAAATATATAATACATTAAATTTGCCAGCACATGTGGGAGAAAAACACTTCTTTGCGAATAATACTTCCGTTTATCCCTAAGCTACTGCTACCGAATGTGATCTCCAGTTTTTTCAAAGAGAGCAGATTAGAGTCAACTTTGCATCCATTCGATTCTCGCTTCAGCTGGCATGATTTGTGCCGATACATAACTTCGATAGGCTTATGCATTTACACGGTATCTCGATCTCGTAAGAAATTTGAACGAGTTCGCACCGCTGTTAATATATCGGTCTATCATAATCGTATTACGTATAAGCTTATCGAAACTGTAACACGAAGAAATCGAACGATAACATAATTAGTTTTTTGTTTTATTTATTTTTTTTTTCATCATGAAAAGGTGAACAGCGAATATTGCAATGCACAATTGTTCCAAAACTATCACCAATAAGAGTTTTTTGTAATACAAATCAACTTCAAACTCAACTTCATATTTATCACACTGATTCAAAAAGACCGTTAGTGATCCCTCGAAGAAATGGCATTGCGATAATTCGCCGCTCTTTAGGCTGTGGCTATAGTGAAAATCAGCCATTTTAAGTGTAAGCGCAGCGAATATTTTATCGATGATTCAGGAGGAAGGAGACGGTATGTGATGTAACGTTCTTGACTATATACAATTGCGATAAAAATTAATTAATTTATAAACATCGTTGCCTATTTACAGACTTAATGTAATCGCATTCTTATAAAACGGACATGTGTAAAAGTGACACGAATTAAATAAGTAATGGCCCAGACGACCGAAACATATTTTCTCCTTATACATGATTAGATAAATCCGTTAACATATACACATCCTTGGCCAAAAGTATTAGGCACCTGTATACATTGCAAATAAAAGAATGTTTTTTTATTTTATTTTTTTTTTTTTTATTTTTTATTTTATTATTGAACGAAAAGATCGTGAAATAGGAAAGGCAAAGAGGAAAAATAAACGAGAACGAAAAAATAATAAAATATTTTGCAATGAATCAAAGGACTCATCCAATGGAACGAAAATCAAGACACTCGTCTCATTTATCATTTCATACATTAATAATTAAGAATGTCTAACAATTTTACACAATATTCTTGTTCACGACAACATATGTGGTCAACTTTACTAAAAAAAAAAAAAAAATAATAAAAAAGAAAAAATTGAGAAAAAAGAAAAAAAAAGAAAAAAAAAAGAAAAAACCCATGAAGTCATAATAAAAAGATACAAGAACAAATAAAAAAAAAATTCTTTCGATATTGATTGATATCGAATATCACGTATATATGCGTGCACGAACATTCGACGTTAACTTTTCGCTTTGTACGCGTATTTTCTCTTCAAATCTTCGATAGAAAGATTCTGAAGAAAGAAAGGCGTCGAAAGTATAAAAATGCGAGCACGTAAAAAAGAGAAAATATAGAGGGAGATAGGGTCGATAGGCAGGGCAAGCGAAATGCCATCGTTTTACGGTCGTACAAACGAAAATCTTGGCTAATTTATGTGTTAATTGATGGATTTTCCCCAAGCAAACTGCATGGGAAGACGAGGTATATCGCTGCTCGTAGAGGACTCGTCCTCGCTGCTGGAAGCGGAGGTTTCTTCAGAGATCATGGCTTCGCCACCAGCTTCCTGAGGTGTCTGACTGGCGTTGCAATCTTCGGCAGCTGCGGCAGCGGCAGCCGCTGCAGCTACTGCAACTGCAACAACGGGATTGGCTGGAGCCGTTGAGGAGGATGAAGTTGTCGACGAGGAAGATGAAGAAGAAGAGGTTGAAGAGGACGATGGGTCGCTTCTAGGTCTTCTTCGTGCGTTAACCGGGGTAGAGGTGTAAGGCCAAGTCGAATCTTCAGTTCTCGCAGAATCAGTCACAGAGATGCTCTTGGATCTGGCTCTCGTGTCGATACCAGTCCTCCGTGGCGTAAGTCTTAAAGAGCCTTGTCGAGGTACCGATAGGGAACCCTCCGGTGTTAAGAGTTTCGGTGGTGCGTTCATAGGTGTGTGTGCTTCATCTAAGTCAAGTGTCCACGAGACCGAATCGCTTTTCTCAACAACAAACTTTATCATAGAAGAGGATTGTTGCGGGTTTTTGTCGAATGATAACGAATGATCTATGTGTTCAGGACCTAAAGATCTAGACAGTCGTGGCGAGGCTAGTTGATTCGCCAGGACTGTTACTACTTCGTTTTTTTGACGTAACCTCCATTGTAATTCTTCGTTACGTTGCAAAAGACGTTTATTCTGTTTTGAGACCTGATGCATCGATTCATGGAGCATCTCGTTATTATGAGAGATCTGTCTCTCCATCGCCTCCTTGCACTGAAGCTGAGCCTTCAAGTCTTCGCATCTCGCTTCGAGCATCTCCACTCGTTGCTGTAATATGTCCTTGTCCTCGATCTCCCGACGTATGCCGTCCAGTTCCGATCTCAAGGCCGCGTTCTCTTGACTCTTCAATTCCAAGACAGATCTCAAGGACTCGACTTCCGCCGCCAAGGCTGCACCTTGATCATGGACGACTGATCTTCTTTTGGTCTCTGCATCTTTACGCATCAATTCAGCCTCATGTTCGGCTCGTAGCCTCGCGATCTCTGCTCGGTGCTCCTTTGTTGCCTCGTTCAAGCAATTATTTAGCCTAAACTCGCATTTCTGTCTCTCCTCCTGTAAGTTGCTTTCCAAAGATGCCAGCTGGTCCGCGTGCCGACTCTCCACTGGAAAATATCAAAGAGAGATTCGTTCTTGATAATCATGTCTAACCAAGAGATTGAAATAAACGAAACCGAGCCAGGAAAAGAACAAAAGCGATAGAAAAGACAAGAACGGATGGATCACACACTGGCCGAGCGTGCCAACCTATAATTAACTTTTCTTCGATCGATGTTACGAGCTCGTTCGTTGGAAAGCAAATAGCCCTTTCGAATTTCGATAACGTCATTACGTCGTGTTTTTCAAAAGTTTACTTGAAACCGACCTCTACGACGTCGTAGAGAGACGTGTGATGTGCGTAGGCACAGCAAACCCATTGATTTTAATTAACAATTGCTCCACTTCGTCCGCTCACCGCTCACACCGGCATTACGACCATTATGCTCGTTACGATGCGAACATCATAATGGCATAATGCTATGTGCCATGCGATGAAGAACGATAAAATCGTTCAGAAATTATGACTCATTCGACTACTAAGTATAGCGTTTACTCGCTGAGCTGATTTATAAGCACAAAACGGACGAATCTATCCTCGAACGATTGTTGAATTATTGATAAAATCTAAAGAAAACAAAAAATATAACGATCGAAGAAATTATGAAAAGGGAGCAAAGCCATCTCTCTCTCTCTCTCTCTCTCTCTCTCTGTCTCTACTACTACTACTACTACTACTACTACTACTACTACTACTACTACTACTACTACTACTACTACTACTACTACTACTACTACTACTATTTTCTTCTAGTTTTCTTATAATTTTTCGCATTCGTTCTGGCTCGACGTCAAATCGAGTTATTCTAAAAATATGTATAGAGCTATAATGTAATATTTTGGAACGACGGAGTTCGCGTTGATGCTGGTGTTTGCGAATTGCGTCACATCGAGTTTTCGCCGTAACGAGTCAGAATACGAACGGAAACACAAATACACTTGGCACGGTCTTACGATCTTCGCGAAGCTGATCCAAGGCTCTGCAATGATCCTTCCTCGCTGTACTGAATCTTTCCTCTATGGTAATGTATTTCGCTCGTAGCTCATCTATCTCCGAGCACACTGCTAACCACTCGGTCTTCATATTTTCGTTATTCTTCTTTAGTTTTGGTGTTGAAAATGCATCCAGCTGAAAGAACGCGATACCATACATCAACAAGTGTTATACGAAAAAATGAATGAGTATTTTTATCGCTCTCTTAACACATATATAAATAATAAAGTCATTATCAAGATTAGATCTTTATATCATTAACATTATTAATTCTGACATAGATATGAGCCTTTTAGAAATCAAATAGATGATGTTTATTACTAATCGTATCCTTATAAAACTGAAAGAATAATTCATTTAAATTCTAATAAATTTTTATATAAAAAAGAAAAGAATGAATTTAATTGTAGTAAATAGAAAGTTTGAATTCACTTTGTTAATTGAAAATTGAATTAGAGACTTCGTTACGCTCCAAATGGATTCGATTAAAGTGAATTAAACTTACTTCGTATGCAAGATATTGTACGGTGACGGACAAAGCTTGGACAATTTGTTCGGCCCTCTTAGCGCGATGAACATCGTAGGGTACGTCCGTTTGAGCAGCTTGATCGCAAGTTTCGATGTTGGTGGTTCTTGTCACCGCATAACCGTTTGTATTATCTGTAACCAATGTCACCGGTGCCATTACCGACAGAGGCGTTCTTCGACATACGATAACGATCATTCGGAATCCTCAAAACCCGTTCATCTCACGAGCATCTTCCATGATACGTTTATCGAGCTCGTCGAAAGGAAAATTCGTCCAGCCGATGTCGTCTTCGAGGTCGAAGATGATTCGAATTTTTCAAAATTATCATGATGATCATTTTGTCATGAACGAGTAAAGTTTACAGATAAGAGAACTCGATTCCAATGGAAATCAAAATCTTTCTATTAGATCGATCTGAGATACTATATATTTAAATCTATCGAAATTTTATTCGAGTAAATGAATTCGTGAAGTACATCAGGTTGCCTTAATAAAGGGGCAAAAAGGCCAACAAATCTATCTACACGACGAAGATTTTTGGTCTGTTTACGTCACCGATCGAGCTCATTCTCTTCAGACGATGACGGACGTGAAAGCACGCACGGTATTATGATCCTCACACCCCGCTCGTTTCTTCTTCCTCCCCGATCGCAATTCTTCGATCGCGTCGGGGAAGACTGACTTGAAAAAAGTCAGCGCACTAAAGGTCGGATGAACTTGATCGCGTTACTCGTCCAAGAACACTCGCCAGTCTCGACGAAGGCATACACTGGGTTAAGGACGACTGTCCGATGAGACCGAGAAAGATAGATACAGAAAGAGAGAGAGAGAGAGAGAGAGAGAGAGAGAGAGAGAGACTCTCGGAATCGTGGAAAGTCTGCAAGGAAACCAAAGACGTCTCTGCGATCACCTTGGCCCGACTATCAGAGACGTTTTGTACGTACGTACTTCCTATTACTCGACCATTCTCTTTCTCATTCTCTCTTATTTCTGTCTGAACACCAAAAGCAAAGTATTTTAAGAACGGATATCTACGTACTTCCCGATATTTACAGTTTCCTTTCTGTTTACGTAGTCGATCGAAAAAGATAAAAAAGAAAAAAAAGAAAGGAAAAGAAAAAAGGAATCAGTTCACCTAGATTCAGGTCTCTTCTAGATTAAAATCTGTTAGAGAAATTAATCCTTTACGTCACTCTCCGATGAGTTTCTTTTTACTTAAACGAAAAATAAATACGATTGATCCGATCGTTCTTCCATAGAAAAGACGAATAAAATAGAAAGATAGAAAACTCTTCTCGAGAAAAGAACTCTTTTGCAGGAAAAAAAAAACGATATGAAGATAAAGAAAAGTCAAAATTATTCTAAGGAAGCGTCAAAGTGGTGACAAAGATATCAATGTCCTATCGGCGTCGCGAGTCAAATTAGAATCGTCACTCGTGGCGATTTGTTGGCCGAGTCCGCTGTTCGACTGAATTAGCACGAGCCGCAAGCTGCCTCGTACAGACGATACATTCTCCCTCCCAGCACCACTATCACCACTACCATCATTGCTACTACTACTACTACTACTACTACTACTACTACTACTACTACTACTACTACTACTACTACTACTACTACTACTACTACTACTATTACTTCTATTACTACCAACACTAACATTAACATTAATACTAAGCCACCTTGAAACGAAGTACAACATCGAAGACGATGGATGATGATAAGCACGGATGAACGGTCTACGACCGGACACACAATACGTGTTTATTCATGCGTGTGTGGGTTTGCGCGAGCGCGAAACTGACCACTCCAGGGATGGCGCGAAATAAAAAGGTCGGAGGCGAGATCATGCACGCGTGCGCGCTCACGATCGCTATGAGTTATTTCAAGGAGTCGTGCTCTGAATAAATTGACTTTTCCATTTGGAATTGGTCGCCCTTAGATGGCGCCGTTTTGAAATGATTGATTTTGACATAAAGAAAATGATCGATCAGAGATGAATTTGTAGATTTGTGAATTTTGTTATCAATTTGATTTTTCAAAGGTTTATATTATAAAAGGATCTAAACAAGACTTTCATCCGATCTTAATCAATCAAGTAGTCTAAACTTGACTAATCTAATAAATAATTTATATAAATAATAAAAATTCTTCACAATTTTATCATTTATGAATTGTACAAGGTCGCATAGAGGTCTAACGAAGGCTTAATGCTTCCTTCAGGAACTCGGTAAGGTCATCGAAGCTAACCAATCTCTAATCACTGTAGACTCCTTCCTGTCTCGATCGTTTTCATAGCGAACAAGCACGCATTCGTTCAAGAGACTGTTCATGAATGATTAATGAAAGCGTAAATTAAATCGATTCTATTAAGAGAAGGAAGACGTACGAAAGTACGAGTCGTAGAAATTCAAGCTATTCTCGTAGTAGTAGGCTTTTGGTTACATCTGATCGATGAATCGCTTTCGATAGAAACCTCGAAGTTTCCTTTTTGCTAAAAGAATCTTTGGAGAACACTGAGAGTCGCGGTCTAAGAAGAGACAGGGATTCACAGTGGTAGAAGTTAATGTGTGATCCAGTGAAAGCAGAGGAACTTTCTTCTTCAACGTGAAGCCAACGGATTACACAGATAGATCATACGTTTTATATATACATATGTGTATGCGTATGTATATATATATATGTTTGCGTAAACCAGCGTGGAAACGCGCGTACGCAACGCGAAATGACCGTGGGACGTTTTTAGAAAACGCCCATTACTACACTTACTACTACTCTTATTACTACTGCTTTTATTACTACTACACTACTACTACTACACTTCTATTACTACTACTACTACTCTTATTACTACTGCTTTTACTACTACTACTACTACTCTTATTACTACTGCTTTTACTACTACTACTACTACTACTACTATTACTATTACTACTACTACTACTACTACTACTATTACTACTACTACTACTATTACTACCACCACTACTATTGTAGCTAATCGTAGCTAGCGGTCAATGAATTGGAAAGTCAACGTGAGCGCGTTTGTTTCGTGCCGCACGAGATAACGTTTAAAACGCTGTCCTCTTTCGGAAAAGGCCTTACACGAGTTACTTGTTCTCTTTCTCTCTCTCTCTGTCTCTTTCTCTCTCTCTCTTTCTCTCCCTCTCTCTCTCCCTCTCTACATTTCTTTCTTTTTCTTTCGTTCTACATATGGAAATTTACCAACGGCCAGATTTTGACCGGTCGTTAGACAACGAACTTTTACTGCTTTACACATGTGAGTATGAGGAATTTGTACTTCAGAACGTGTTTTCTGATTTTTCCTACGTGAAAGCTCCTTTCTAGTTTTCCGGGAAAAAGGATTTTCTTCTTTTAAAAAAGAAAGTGAAGATACTTGATTAATGTAACGTTGCGATCAGCAGAATAATAAAGGATATAATAGAATAGAAATTATGTGAACATAAAGATTTCAAAATGAAAATATGGGAAATATCTATTTATCCTGTTATTCGTATGTTTCTGTTAGAATGATGTAATATTCCGATGACTTGAATAATAAACTAATACAACAGAGTAGAAAATATATGAACATAAAAATTTAGAAATACATATCGTTAATATGAATTTTTTATATAAATAAATAAATAAATAAATAAATAAATAAATAATTATATGTATATGCAAAGAGTATATTTATGAATTCTTGTAGATTTCTTTCGAGTAATCAAACTTCCATCGATATCTTTATAAATAAACTACGTGATATAGCAAGGTCAAAAAGGTATCAATCAGTAAACAAATCATGTCTTATCTCTTTCTATCGGCTTTCTACGAGCATCGAAATTAGCTTGAAAACGAGCCAACCGAAGTACGATGAGAGAAAACTAAAATAAATTACCGATACTATCAGCAATTCCAGAGGATTACGAATTTCACTCGTTGACAGACGATCATTAATATCGATATCTATTGAGCCTAATGTATTTGATCCCGATTTATGAACCAATGTCTCATCATTCCGTTCTATTTAAATCTCGAAGCTTGTTTCCGCTTCGATTTCGACTTCCGGGCGTCCTAAGGAAGATGCTCGAGTAAAAGTAATAAAAGATTTCACGAGTGAGTAAAGGAAAAAATATTAATCTGTTAACTGAAGAAGATGAATTAATTCGTAACGAAAATTTATATAATCATAAATATTTTAAAATGTATTTTTATGTATTATTAACATAATTGTTTTATATAACTAAATAGATATATGTTGCTGTATAGATGTATGAAAAATATTTATTTAATTTTTAATATATATTTAATTTTTAGATATATGAAAAATATTTATCGAAAAATATTTATCTCTTACTCAAAGGTTTTCACCGAATAATTGGACTTCCACTATTAATGGTAGTTCATAAACAAACCAAGTAATATAACAAAGTCGAAAAAATATATCTCTCATATTAAAAGAATAAATAAATCATATTTATTTTTTACTACTATTAAAAATCATAGTTTCCTTAATTGATTAATTTAATTCAATGCATCTCGTCTTCATTAATTTGATTTTGAATGAAAATAGATTTCATACATTGAGATTCGCTAGATCATAAATGTCCTCAGTTAAACAAATTAACTCTCTTAACTTGATTAATATATACCTTTTTCTGTTGGCCTCGTGGCACGTTGTTGTTGTTGTTGCTGCTGCTGCTGTTGCTGTCGTTGCTGTGACGGTTGCTTGGCAGGGACGTTGGCTGTTAATCTCCTGGTAATCGGTTGCTTGCGCGACACTGTCGGGCTCTTTTCTGCAACATAGAAGACTCGACGTTAACGAGAGTATGCCGAACCACCAACAGCTAACCGGTAGTTGCTACAAGTCTTGTAACGATGATAGCTCCTCCGAGTACCGTAACAGCGTGAACCGTTTTATCGCCCGTATAAGATAAAAAGGTGCGGGTCTTTGACGCTACACTTTGAATCGTCACGCCTTTACCCTTCCTACCTTTCTTCCATTATTTTTCTTTTCCACATAAGTACTTCCTTGTTTAGAAAATTATTTTAAAAGTTGACAGGAAAAGACTTTTTAAAAGAATTTTCGTACGGAATCATGAAACGAAAATGTAATGCGGCAATGAGAGTAGTTTGACAGGTTGATCGAGAACGGTACCATTAAACGCGAGCTTAATTGGATGTATAACCGATCGGACGTGTACAAATAATCGAGTCTCTTGATCTTCTTGGGAGTCGAACCGATCGATCAAGAAAATAAGAGAGAGAATTTGTTACTCTATGTAATTACGAGAGAATTCTACAATACTTGTTTCTTTCTTTTTTCCTTTTCTCTCTCTCTCTCTCTCTCTCTCTCTCTCTCCTCCCTCCCTTTGTTTCTCTCTCTCACTTTCTCATGATTTTCTTCGAACCTCGACAGATTTTGTATTGTGTAACTATAAAACTAAACGAGAAAGTTCTATGATCATTACTTAAAATACGCTAAATTAAACGAACTAATTTAAAATTATTAAAAATTTTTAATTAAAGTTAAATTGTCGTATGAAAAGAAAGAAGAGAAATTTCCATATATCAGGCAAATTCGTAATTCCGAATACGACCGAAAATACCTTTGACCATGTTTCGAAACGTGCACACTTCGGGAATATAAACAACTGACTGAAACTACTTCGATCTTTCCCTCGAATGTTTATTTACAATCGATATAAGATTTATCTATTTAAGGACACAGTAATGTCATGAATTTTTTGTACTTAACCAATACTTTACTCAAAACTTTAATATTTTGTCATTCGATGAGCGTGATTTATAACACAGACATATAAATATTCAATGAATACGTTAATTACAAGACATATTATCATTTTTACTTGTATACTGGCTAAAGTTGACTAACATCGATTATTCCAACATAGTAACATTTTACCAATTGACAAATAAAATATGATTACATCATAGATATATAAATATTTAATGTGTATGTTTGTTACGAATAATACATGCTATCAATTTCATTTGTATGCTAGGTAGAATCAATGTACAAAAAAGAAAGGAAGAAAAATAAATAAAAGAAAAGAAACGAAGAAAAAAAGAAAAAAGAAGATGCATATACTATAATACGAAGAAACCAAGCTGCGTTGGTTCCGGTCGACTGTAAGCTGCAGTTCGTGCATCGAGCTCGACAATCTCGATCGCCCCGCGCGAACGTTGCCCACATTCGGACGGACTTTAATCATCACTAATGCTGATCACGTATCCCTGTCACACAAGTCAGCTCACAAATCACGTTCTCACTGCTGTGGAATATTTTGGTTGACTGTTACTCGTTCCCAAAGAAGCTTTCTCTCTCTGTCTTTCTCTTTCCTTCTCTCTATCTCTCTATCTCATAAAGTACAGAAAATTCTTCAATCGCAGAGACGCACACATTACATGTGTTCGCTCGTTCGCGGCTCTCGAAGAACTGTTTGCTGGTAGTTCGCGAGCGAGCAACATTGGGTTTACAAATGGAGGTAAGGAGAGACGGTTTGGCCTCGTCGAAACGTTGGTGAGGGCTCGTACCGTTAAAATTTTGACCTGTCTCTTGTTACAAAAGAATCTACAGTTCTTGTACTATTGTTGGATAGTTAAGAAAGAAGATATATCTGTCTTATACTTAAGAAGACTTTCCCTTTTCCCGACAAAATTACGGGAAAATTTATAGGATGACATATAGACTGTATTCTATTCAAAAATGGAAGATAAAGATTAGATATAATGTATGAATATTACCCAAATTTTAGAATAAAATTCAAATTTTTTGAAATATCTAAAATATTCCTAAATAATTTTTTAAATTCTTTTGTTATGTTAATATTGGCAACGATAAAATAAATACTGACAACGTATGATTCGAAATAGTTTTCATCCTCATTAAATAATACGTTTAAAATGTCCCATTTAAATATTCGTGCTACGGACTGTCACAAACGAATACTAACATGAATTTAATTCTAAATTCAACGTTTATCGCGATTACATCTTCAACCGAAATGTTCCTTGATATAATTTTACAAGCTTCCTTTAAATATCTTCAGGCCATAACAGAATACTTTCCAAATTTCATATGAAAGTCCAATTATGAGAACTGTCATTAACATGCAATCGAAAGAACACCGTTAATGATGTCTACCATTTGTCTTACAAACGAACACGTACAAATGGTTGCATAAACTCAGGCGTGAGCTAAGTAAAGGGAAGCCGCTTTGATCGTGTTGGGTCTCCAACCGGAAGTACGCAGAGTTGCCCTCAGCCTTGTGTCTCTGCGCTTCATCGACGAACACGACGTATATAAACTCGTCGTAAATTTATCAGCTTGATTTATCAACCATCTCTCTCTCTCTTTCTCTTTCTCTCTTTCTTTCTCTTTCTCTTTCTCTCTCTCTCTCTCTCTCTCTCTTTCTCTCTCTCTCTCTCTCTCTCTTTCTCTCTTTCTCTCTCTCTCTCTCTCTCTCACTTTCTCTCTTTCATTCCCTTTTTCTCATACGCAGACGTCCCTTTTGTTCTCCTCTGCCTCACACTTACCAAGATTGATTGTCGCCACGGAAGAACAATTTTTCTTTTCTTGAAAACTATTGACGCGGCCCTGTTGACCACCACGACCGTTTGCCACAATTCTCCTTGGTGAACTTCCCGACGTCGGTGATCTCTCTGTAAAGGCAAACGTGAAATAAGATATCTCGCTTCGATCGCTCAACTTTGTAAATTGTAAGGGACGAGAAACGCATTAAACTGAAAAAGGTTAAATAATTTAACATTTT